AATAAAAAAATCTTACAAAAAAAAAAAGAAAATCCAGGAGAGAAACCAACCAGAGCTCCCCATCCCCCACCCCCACCCCGCCTGCAGCCTGGATCTGAATGGCAGGAGCCCTGTGACAGCTGCCTCTGCCTCCGTGGGAAGAGCTTCTGCACCCGACACTGCCCCGGCCTCACCTGTGCCCAGGTACCCGGTGGCCCCCCAGTGCCTTCCCTCCACGGCTGGTCTTAGGGTTTCTGGGCAGGCGGTGTGGGGTGATGGGATGTCCCCCTGAGTGGACCGTGGATGGCTCTCTGTAGGGTGAAGTGATGGTGCAGGAGCCAGGGAGCTGCTGTCCCCTTTGTCGACGGGACACTCTGGGTACGCAGGGGATGGGTAGCTGTAAACGCCCTCCTCTGGCCTAGACCTTCCTGCCCCACGACCTCACACCCAGCCTGCTGTTCCCACCTTCCCCAGGCTCGCCTGCATGGGGATCAGAGTGGCTCCCTCATCCCAGGCTCTGCCCTACATGTCTTTGCCTAAAGTTCTCCAGTCACAGCTTCTTCCTCTGTCTTGATGTTACCCCCCTCACCCCCAGAGGAACCAGCCTCCTGCCGGCACCTCACAGAACTCAGAAACCTCACCAAGGGCCCCTGCCGCCTGGATCTCGTAGAAGTGAGCTACTGCAGTGGGCATTGCAGGTCCAGCACCAACGTCATGACTGAGGTGAGCTGGGGGCTGCCCTACAGATCCATCGGGCAGGTCAGCCGGCGCCCTTGAGGGCTTGACACTAGCTGAGGACCTTGGAAGAACCCAGAGCACATGAGGAACACAGTCCATTTTCACAGAGCAGACAGAACTGGGACTGTGGGGTGTCAGAGCCCTTCTCCAGGGTGGTGGTATGCACACATGCCCAGAGCATGCCTCTCAGACAACTGTGTCCCTCTGAGCCAGTAAGCCAGGATGCCCACAGAGAAAGGCCTGGGGAGGGAAAGTGGCTGAGGCCAGGCCCATCATTCTCACATCAGAAGGGGTCCAGAGTTGGCTTTTTACAGATAAGCCCTGCCAGGCTTTCCCTGTAAAGTCTACACCCGAACAAGTCCAGAATCCAGTTCTCTCTGCTTGCTCTCCTTGGACCCTGCTTCACCCCATGACTCTCTTAGCTTCCAGCCTGGAGAGTTGTAACTCAGACCACTGACATTCCCTTTGAATGGAGACCTGGCTCCTGGCCCCCGGCACCTCACATCTAATCTCGAGGCCGTTCCCTTCCGCTTCCGCTCAACTGGGTTAGCTAATGCTGGGAGCCAACGGTGCTTTCTCTCTGGTTCCCCAAATGCTTTGTCTCAATCCCGTGCCGTGGTACTGCTGTCCCGAGTGCTCCTAACCCTCCTGGGAATGTTTTCCCCAAACACATTTGGAACTTATAAAACACAGAGCAAAGAAAGAAAACAGGAACAGGGTTCGGAGATAATTATCTTTGCCGTTTTTGAACTTGATACTGTATGAATTTCTACAAGAGTTATAAACTATTCAAAGGTTATAGGTAAAATTAAGTCACTGTTCTGTGGGGGCAGGAGTGTCTGGAAGGGCAGCCCACAGCGCTTAGGATCCCAGCCGTTCCCTTAGAGTTTGTTCGCTGTTTCCTGTATGACTAGCCCATTTCCATCTAGGCTTGAAGCCGCTTAGGGTGGAAGCCACATCCTTACCCTGATGCATTCATTCACTGGATGTTCAGATATGCTGGGGGTGGGGTGAAGAAAGTGGGCTTCTTGAGGAGCGGGGCTTGGTGGTGATGCTCCCCGCTGCCCAGGCTACCTTGGGAGTCCAGAACAATTGGCATTTGGCCCTTCCCCGTTTGGCTCCCTACCCACTCACAGCCTCTCTCGCCCAGGAGCCCTACCTGCAGAGCCTGTGTGACTGCTGTAGCTACCATCTAGATCCTGACAGCCCCGTGCGGCTCCTGAACCTCCACTGCCCCGACGGCCACACAGAGCCAGTGGTGTTGCCAGTGATTCACAGCTGCCAGTGCAGTGCCTGCCAGGGTGGGTCTGGCTGAGGAGGGACAGGGGCTCTGTAGGACCATCCTGGGCAAGGTCAGAATTCCCCTTCAGGAGGCCTTAGGAGCATGCATGCATGCACGGCACATGGTCCCCTTCTTCCTTGGCTTTACCAGTCTATTCTGATCCTTTCCCCTCCCCAGCATTCTGCTTATTTCCTTTCCAATTACACACGAACTTGGGTGTTTGCAGTAATTGTACCTGGGTCAAATCTCGGTCTTCTGCTGAGGCCCGTACTCAGGACCCCATCCCTTGAACAGGCCTGACATGTACACAGGCTTGCCGGGAGGACTCTGAAGGGCGTGCATGTCAAGTAGCTGGCGGGTTAAGTTACATACCCGATGTGTATAACTGAGGTCGTATGCCCAGTGTGGGGGAGACACAGGAGAGACAGCACAACCTAGGTAGAGGGCATGGAGGAACCGGCTGCACCCTGCGCACCTTCAGGCATCTTCGTCCTCTAGCTCACCCTGCACATCCCCTAGCTCATCGTCCTCTGCCCTGCCCCATTTTGTCTCACTAGTGCATCTTCTCACTAGCCCATCTCGAAATTCTGTCTGCAGATGGTGATTTCTCAAAGCACTGACAGGCTCCGCTGGACGCATCTGGGCTGTCTCTTGTGACCGTGGGGCTCTGCGGCACTCCCCACTTCCTTCAGTGCCCACTTGCCTGCCTCTGGCTCTAGACCCGTGGCATTAGCATATTCCCAATAAAGTAATGCTGGCAACTGATGCTGACACTCTACTGTGTGGTCTCTGTTCCTGGGCCCAGCAGGGGACTGGAGGGAGAGCTCAGCCTGGACCTGAGCAGCAGCTCTGGTGGGTCCACAATGTGTCATCATGGCACTCTTGAATAAGTCACTCCCCATCACTGCCCGAGTTTCCTCAGCTGTTGTAGGACAGGGTTGAGTCTGGAGTCTGAATATTATACATGAGTGTTATATCCTTCAACCCAGTGTGATTCCATCACAACACAGAGAATTCTGGAATTCTGGAGTATTCAGGCTGCCGTATTCCAGAAGAGGGTATCAGATCCCACTATATATGGTTGTGAGCCACCATGTGGTTGCTGGGAATTGAACCCGGGTCCTCTGGAAGAGCAGCCAGTGCTCTTGACTGCTGAGCCGTCTCTCCAGCTTGTGTGTGTGGTTTTCAAGACATGGTCTCACTGTGTGAGACCTGGCTGGCCTGGAACTCACCATAGACCAGGATGGCCTTAAACCCAACAACAATCCACCTCCTCTGCCTCCTGCATACTGAGATTACCCGTGTGAGTAACCTGAAATTCATTCTTTTTTACATTTAAACTATGATGACTTGATTAGAAAATAAAGTTGCACAAACATCACTGTCGTCCAGTTTTAGAACACTTCCATTGCTCCCTGCCCCCTGACAACCAGCCTCTCCTGATTCCCCAGGCAAGCACTAAACTGCTTTTCATCTCAATGCCCTTTCTGGACATTTCATGCAAACATCGGGCTTCTTTCAGTTAACCTGATGATTCTGAGCCTCACTGACATCATAACATGCAACAGTAGTTCATTCCCTTTTAATGATAAATAGTAGCTATTGCATGGGTCTTCTACAAAATGCCCATCATCTGCCAGTTGATGGACATTCCTTGTGGCTTGCCTATCTATCTACCAGTTGATAGAAATTCCTGTTGCTGCTGGGTTTTCTATTATGTGAACATTTTTGTACAAGTCTTTGTGGGGGGGGATAATTTTATATCCCAGCGCCCACATGGGAGGTAGGTTGGGCAGCGCTCACCTATAACTCTAGCACACACACACACACACACACACACACACACACACAAACACACACACACCATAAATCCACCATGATGGCCTGGCCTATAATCACGAGGCTAAGGCAGGAGAATCAGGTGTTGTAGCCACCTTGGTCTGCAAGGTGACACGCTCTTTTGTTTTTGTTTTTATTTTTTAAGAAACAAAAATAGAAATGTAAGGAAAAAGTATTACTTTCTTGATTAACCTTGTTGACCTGTGTGTGCTAGTGGGAGTTACTCACGCCAAAAGGAGCCGGTCCAGTCTGCACTCTCCAGGCTGGACTACACCTCCCATGAGCCTCTCCGCCTCAGGGAGGTGGCAGCCATAAAGCGCTGCGCTAGTAACCGCACTGGTCCCAGCTCATCACTACCTCTGCCAGCGCGAGCCCTACCGCCTCCCGCCGTGGGAGAGCGAAGTTTGCTGCCTCGTGTCTCCCCTGCCCCTGTGACTCGGCTCCGGGATCCCAAGTCCCGAGTGGGCCGCGGCGGCCTCGGAACAGGCCTGGAGGGAGGCGGTCTGCACGACCGCTAGAACCTGGCCATGGAGCCCGGGGAGACGGGGAAGGTAGGGCTGGAAGGGCACGGGGCTGCTCTCTGTCGCTCATCCCGGTCTGGGCTAGCGGATGAGCTAGCCTTGGGGGAAAGTGTTCGCCCGCCTGCCTTATCTTCCTCGGCTGGGAGATACTTACTCATCCTGGCCCCCGCATCCCTACTCCCTGACCCCACTTCGGGTCAGCCATTCCTCTGCTTGTGGCCACTCTGCCTGTGGTCTCGGGGTGGGGGACTAGCCAAGCATAGTGATGCCGAAGTGCTTCTGGTCCCCTTTCCTCCCTTTGGCGTTTGGAGGAGGCCTTGCTTTTAAGACCTAGAGGCTGGATAGGACGCCAGGGGAGTCAAAGGATGGGGAACTGAGAAGTGGAGAGAGACCCTGGCTTTTCCTTGTTCCTCCTTCCCAAGAAAGGGAAAAAAGGCTCCTGGCATTTTCTTGCATACTTCTACTTCTAGTTTATCTACTTCATGAAGAATGTGGGCATGGCTTAGAAACACACTCCACAATCTTACTTCAAGGCTTTGGGCAAGAAGAGGCTTTGGAGATGGGAGATGAGGTAGGGTAGAAAGTGGAGCAGAGGAGCGTTGACAGGATTGCTGGGTTGTGGGCACACTGCCTGAGAGACAGGCAGCCTCTTAAGAGTCAGGTCTTTTCTGATGTTCTTTGCATCCAGTTCTTTTGTGCAGGCTTGCATTGCTGGGGATCGGACTCTGGGCCTTGAACCGAGGAGACAAGGGTTCTACCCACTGAGCTACATCCTCAGCTCTTGCAGCCCTTCTTGAGGATTTGCGGTGGGGCACGGAAGGAATTTTCTCAACAAACATTTTCAAACGCTTATATGACTTCTCTCCCCCTCTGTCCCTCGCCGTCTCCTTCGTATCCATTTAATAAACACGTGTACTCTGAGGTTTGCATTGGATAAGATGTTGGAAGTACAAGAATAATAGAAAGGAACCTTATTCCACAGAGACCTCGTCTGTGGTTTCCACTTGAGTAACTTGGATGCACCTGGGAAAGTTGGCCCACGGGAGAGGAAAGATGAGGAGGATATTTTGGTGCCATAATTTTATCTGGAAAGGCTCCTGTCTCAGAAAAGCAGTTGTTCTTTGTTTAAGCATCTCTTCCATCCTCCCTTCACCCAATTCACTAGCTACAGAGATTTTCCAGATCTAGCAGTCTCTAGAATATCTGGGTGAGGGCAAGGTCAACTGGATCTGTACCAATGAAAGCTGTTAGGCCAGCGTGTGTTGGAAACTATGGGAAACACACAGGCACACACACTAAAAGGAAGGACCCTTTCTCTTGAGTAGTGTCTTCAGATTGGTTTAGATTGAACTTGAATTCCTTCAGGTGAGGAAATGGGGCTGTGGGTATTAAAAATGGCATCAAGACTAGAGTTAGTGGTTTAAGGTTAATTTCCAAGCTCTTCTCTCAGTAGTAGCCTGCCTTAACCTTTAACAAAAGAAGAGAGGAATATAGATCTTTTGGAGGAAACAAAGGAATTTGATTTTTTTTTTTCAGATCCAACCACTAATTGAAAATCTCAAGGCTCAGAAATCTCCCCTTGATTCCAGTCTGGATTGCAGGGTGTCTCCAAAAGGCTTAGCCCTCCCCGAGTGTATATGTTTTCTACCCTGAGAGATGAGGACATCATCCAACAATGGGAGAAACCTTGTGAAAGCAACTCACAGTAAAGACACCTTGCAAACCAGTGAAAAGACAAAGGCCTGGGTAGAAGATGAACTCAGATTCTGAGCAGAAAGCTGTGAAATTGGGGGGTCCTTTTGCAATGGCTCCATCTCGTTGCCAGAATACCACTTAGTTGATACTTTGTGATCAACTTAGTTGATACTTAGTTGATACTTTGTGACAGTTATTGACTAAAAGCAATCTTGGGCTGCTGGATTGTAGGTAGGATATGTTGCCTGTCATTGATAGAATATGGAAAGAAGTCAAAGACTTGTCATCTTGCATCCAATCATCCTGCTTTGTTTTGTCTCAGCCCTGGTGTCTACAAATTTCTCTTACTTGTTTATATATTTTTTGGCTTTACTTCTAGTATCTCCAGTTAGAACTGTAGAACAACCCCTGGTATTTAAGAGACTCTGAGCAAGCATTTTCTAAAAGGAAGACTCATAAAGGTGGTTGGTGGACACAAGTCTAGCCTACCATGCTGTCCTGGGGGTTGTGTTGGTGGAGGTGCTGGGCATGTGTAGGAGTCTGCAACATGTACTTCATGGATGTGTCTGTTGCTTCCTGGCCATCTCTGTCTTTTCTTATGGAAATGATCAATCTTTTATCATTTTTGTCCCGATCCAGTTCTGTTATTGCACTTTGAGTCTCTTTCCACATCTACAGATCACTGTTTGGCAGCATATAAGAACACTTAATAAGTGTATGTTGAGTGAAAAAAATGAAGTAATTGACTATGAAATTCTTTTTGTGTGATGTTGTGGAGGAGAGCGAGTGGTGCCTGTGAGGCGTCTTATAAAATAAACAGCCAAGCACAGGTTTCCTGCCCCAAGGTAGGGGAGAATTGAGGCATTCCTAGGTTGGTGTAGGAACCACACTGGGACTAGTAAGGAAGCCCCTCCTGAGAGACAGAATGTGGATAAGACCTTGATGGGTAGGCAGACCATAAGTAGTGGGAGAAAAGGGTAGTTAGGGGATCTAGGTTTGGGGGTGTAGAGAGAGGAAAGATAAAGGTAGATTGAGTGATAGGAGGAGGAGAGACTCCTGTGGGGTGAGCTAGAGTGAGGACTGAGCTTCGTGTTGAGGGGGTTTGGGTGCCTAATAGAGGAACCGGCTAAAATAGAATATTCAGATACACTTTGCATCCTACATAGGTAAGAAATTTCTCTTATTGAGAAATTTGAGACTTTATACTATAGTCACCCAGAAGCAGAAAGGTGTTTGCCACAGTGTAGCTTAAAAGAGGGGTGCCGGGTATTTGTGTATCACCCTGGGTAAAAAGACATGTCTTCATTCCATATTCAGTTCCTGCCTCATTGTGCTGCTCAAGATATGGGACCATCAGTCTTCACTATGGTGCCTTCTCAACCTGGGGAAGCGGCATGAATAGGAAGCCTTGTGTCCCTGCTCACAAGAGTTTGAGTTTTTCATTTGCTTAGTTGGTTTGTTTTTAGAGATAGAGTCCCATTACATATACCAGGCTAACCTTCAACTCTTGGTCGCTCTTTGGCAGCCTCTAACTGATGGGCAGATGTGCTCTATCATATCCTGTGGGTGACAGATTTTTTTTTTAAACCTGCATCTCTAGGGATAGACTGCCCTCTGGTCCTGATGTTCAGCATTCCTCCTGGGATCAGATCCCCCCCCCCCACTTCTCCACACTAATCCCCTTAGACTGTCTTTGCATGCGCCTCCTTCC